TGAAATCCAAAATCTCTGTAAATTTTCTTTGAAATTAGTATTTTTTAAAAAAAATTTCTTTGTTCATAGGGTTGCTTTGAGTTGTAATCAACTCAATGGCACTTAACAACAATAACAATGCTAACAAGTCAACATGACTCTGAAGAATAAAAAATAAAAAAAAAGTACTATCTTAATGAAGAATATCAAGCTAGATTCAGAAGAGATCCTGGAACCAAGGATATCATTACTGATGTTAGATGAACCTTGGCTGAAATCAGGAAATACCAGAAAGATGTTGACTTTTGTTTTATTGATTATTCATTTGACTACATGGATCATAAAAAAAAAATCATGGCTGACAGAAGAAATCATCCTCAACTGGGTAGGTTGACACTGTGACTGCACCAATGGATTTGAGTGTGTCAGAGATTGTGAGAATGGCACGGATAGGACAGTGTTCAGATCTGTTGGTCCCAGGGTTGCTATAAGTTGTACTCGACTTGATGGCACCCAACAACAACAACAACAACATTGAGAAGATTGGAATCTCAGAACATTTAAGTGTACTCGTATGAAAGCTACACATAGACCGTGAAGCCACTGTCTAAATAGAACAAGATAACAGTGGACGGTTTAAAATCAGAAAAGGTATATATAAGGGTTATATCCTTTCTCTCTGCCTGTTCTATGTGTATTCTGAGCAAATAATTTGAGAAGTTAGGCTATATGAAGAAGAATGTGGCATCAGATTGGAGGAAGTTTCATCAACTACCTGCAATAAGCATTTGACACAATCTTGCTTGCAGAAAGTGAAGAAGACGTGAAACACTGCAGAAGACCGGACTACAGCCTTCAATATAGATTGCATCTCACCATCAAGAAAACAAAAACCTTCACCACTGGGCCTTGAGGCAACATCATGATAGATGGAGAAAATACTGAAATAGTCAAAGATTTTGTGTTACTTGGATTCATAATCACCCATGGAAACACCAGTCAAGAAATCATAAGATGTGAAGCATTGGAGAAATCTGCTGTCAAGGACCTCTCCAAGTGCTAGAAGTGCATGGATGTCAGTTTAAAGACTAAAGTCCACCTAATTCAAGCCATGATCATTTCAATTGCTTCCTATGCATCTGAACATTTGACGATGAGGAAGGAGGCAGAAAAATCAATGCCTTTACTTATGGTTTTGGAGAAAACTATTGAATATACATACCATGACTAGGGTGCAAACAGGATGCTCTTTAGAGGAAAGGATGGTGAAATTGTGATTGTACCTCACATACTTTGGGCATGTTTCCAGGAGTCGCCAGTCCTTAGAAAAAGACATCATGCTGGGAAAAGGAAACGGGAAAGAGAGGAAGACCTCCAAGGGGACAGATTGGCACAGTGACCACAGCAATGGCCTTACACATGAAGGTGACTGTGATGGCACAGTATAGGACAACATTTCAATATTTTTTTGTTCACAGGGTCACGAAGAGTCTTAGGCAACTCTTCAGCAATAAAGCAAAAGAGCTTTAATATGCTTCAATCAGAGGAGGACTATTTCCCCTCTTTCATTATCTCTATTTAAAAAAAAAAAATTTAAGCAAAGCAAAGGATAGCAAAGAATAAAATGGAAACTTCCTCACTGGAAATGACCAGAGAAATTTTAGGACCTTCAGAGACACTTAAGCTGTATGGATATTGATGAAAGGGACAAATGGTTAACAGGTTAACTCATGTGTTGGCATTGGTCTGTAATGTTCTCCTTCTCCTTTTTGGGGGCCTATCTGTAGAAAAGGAGAATCCAAGGTAGTGATCTCTGGCCCTTCCTCACCTTCCCAGGATCTTACAGCAGGTGACTTTGGTCCTAGGATATGAGACATGAACCCTGACTCGTCACATGATCATGGTCGTTGTCGGTCCTCTGACACTCAACAGCACTTTGTTCTGTTCTCCACAAAACAAGAGTCTTATCTTAGTTCTTCCATCATCTCTTCAGTCTCTTTCAAACTAAAATCAGCTCACTGCCACAAAAAAAGCACTTTCACTGCTCTGTGGAGAAAGTTGCCTAGCTGGGTTTTTTTTTTAGCTTATTAATCATATTTCCCTTAGTTTTGGTGTTGTCATCACTTAGGAAGCAGTCAGTAAAAAGGTAATAATTTCCCCTTTCCTTTACTTAGGCCAGAGGGGAGGAAAAGGAGGTTAAATGTCATTGTTCATAAAAGAGCTAAGTAGCTATTATCAGATCCATCTTCCTCACTGGGACAGGAAGCATTTAAAAATGTTATGTAGTTTAACAGTTTTAAAATTCCAATCTGTACTGTATATAACTGAGTTCCTTCATTACTCACAGGGTATGGTGAAACTTCGTCTCACGTACTTTGGGCATGTTGTTAGGAGGGGCTAATCTTTGGAAAATGATATGCTTGGAAAGGTAGAGGGTCAGTGTAAGAGAGGAAGACTCTGAACAAGATGAATCAACATGGTAACTAGCAATGGGCTCAAGTCCATCAAGGATCATGAAGATGAGCCAGGGTAGGGAAAGGTCCAGGTCCATTGTTCATAGGTGGCTATGACTTGTGGTCAACTCCACAGCACCTAACAACAATAGTTTTAAAATTTCTCTTTATCTCCCACAATATCCTCTTTGTTTGGCATCCTTGTTTCACTGTTGCTCTTTCATGTTTAAACTTACAATATTGTATACAAATTAAGGTTAACCAACAGGTACTTAACAGATTCATTTTCTGTGAATAGCCCTGTACTGCATTCTTATTTTCCCCATTTTCTAATTTAGAAATATTGGCAATGAACTTCATTCAGATGCCTGTGCACATGGAAAAGCCTATCCAGGCATAGCTCTTTTTATTGCACTTCACCTCATTCGTGCTTCACAGGTACCACTTCATTTATTTATTTTAGAAATTGGAGGTTTGTGGGAAACTTGCACTGAGGAGTTTTATTGCCACCGTTTTTCCTGATAGCACGAGCTCACTTCCTGTCTCTGTATCACATTCTGGTTGTTCTCCCAGGATTAAAATCTTTTTCACAATGCACACTTAAAGACTCCAGTAGAGTGTAAATGTAACTTTAATATGCATGTGGGAAGGTAGGAAAATTTGCATGACTCATTTCATTGTGATATTTACTTTATTGCGGTGGTCTGGAAGCTAATTGAAAATCTCTCCAAGCTATGATATGACTGTACTGTCCCGACTTCTGCTTGAACAACAACTCTGCTTACTCAAGAAACCAAATGGGATCATTCTGATTAAGAAGGAGTAGATTTGAAACAGGCTGTTGGTTGTTTTGGGTTTTCCTCCTCTCTCTTTTGATTGCATCTATCAACCACATAATTGTAAAATATCTACTTAGTGTAGTGTTGACATATTCTAAATGTACTTACTGTAGTGTTGACACTAAAATGTCATGAATGGCATTATTAAATGAGGGACATAAAGATACAGTGTGTTTACCCCATAAACCAGACCAAAAATTAAGGGAATCTCACTACCCTCAAGAAAGAAGAAGCAGATGGTGCAGTATGTACTTTGGGTCAGAAACAGAGTGAGACCTCCAAGACTGAGACATTGAGACTGACAGTGGTGAAAGCAGCCTCATAGGTGGCAGAGAACCAGAGAGCAGTTTGAGACAGAGCAGAACTAGATCTGCCACGCCACGGAGCCATGGCCTAGGTGTTGTGGTGAAGTGATAGGAGTGGGGCTTAGTTGGGAGATAGAATTGGTGAAACTAATAACACTTTGCAAAACTTCCTTGAGCATAGGGCAGGATCCAGAGTTGAGAGGCTCAGGGTCAAAGAGACCTGAGAGCATATGTGAGAAGCAGCTGCCTGGATTGGAGTAATGTATCCTGAGTATTTCCAACCTAAACTGTAGCCTGTTTCTTCCCTAGTAAACACCATCATTGTGGGAGGAAAAAGGCTAGAAATTTAAGCAATAATTTTATTTAAATATGTAATCTCTTTCAGCAATCAGGAAAACTCCAGTCTTAGTGAAGAAGGCTGTAAAGTGTCTATGTTATTTTTAGTGCATCATTCTTTTGAGAAGCTATAAATATTTCTTAAGTGGGTAGTACTTTAAGGGGAAAACAAGTGAATTGTTTTCTAGTCAAATAGAACTAAGTTTAGAAATTATTCATGGCTACATGGCCATGGATCTCTATTCTGAATTTGTTGGCAGAAGATGATGCTGTCTACATATTGCTCTTTATACTCAGCACACAGAATCTAAGGAGTTTTCAGTGTATTCGCTAGAGTCAGTCAAGGAGGAGAAGACCTTCAATGAGACTGACCAGTGAGTGACTCGAGGATGTCAGAGATAGATGGTAGGACAGCGCAAGATAGGGCAGGGTTCAGATCCATTGTTCATAGCTTCACTATGAGTGGCAGTTGACTCAATGCCACTTAATAACAACAATAACATTAATAAATGATGCACTAAACCCGAAGTCTTGGAGCTTTTAAGTGAGTTGTTACTAAATCCCCTTGTTTTCATTTATGCAGTTAACCACTGACACTTAAATTAGCTGACAGCTCTCAGTAAAAGCCGCCACAGTAACATTGTCCTTTTCTCCCTCCTTTACCTGTTACCTCTCTTTTCTTCACTATTACATTTCTCAAGAACTTGCTGTGCATATTTTCTCTCCTCTTCCCCCACTCAATTCTTTTATTTTTTTCTATTTTGGGTGTTCCCCCCCATTGACATTGTTTCATATACACTGTGTCTTATAAAATTAATCACCATTGGTCTATGCCTACTATTATCCTGTCTTTTCAGATTTCCCCTCGATCTTAATATCCGCAGTCCTGTGATATCATGCCCTTAGGACCCTTGCCCCCTCGCCTTCCCTCTTTGGACATTTATACATATCTAACTGGTTATCCTTCTGTTTCTACAGTAATGGTCTTATGCAGTATTGGTCCTCATGGGCCTGAGGTAGTTCACTTAGCATAATGTTAGCTAGTCTCTCCCATACTATATAGTGGTTTTCTAAATCATTGCTCCTAAGTAGTCATGTGAATGTACCAGTTTCTCAATCCAGTTGTTTGTTGATAGACATTTGAGTGGTGTCCATGTCCTTGCTGTTGGGAATAAGGCTGCTATGAACACTGGTGTACAAATCTCCATTTGTATCTAAGCTTTGTTTTCTTTGAGATATATTCCTAGCAGTGGAGTAGCTGGGTTATGTGAAATTTCTGCATCCAGCTTTTTGAGGAAACACCAAACTGCCTTCCAGAATGATTTATCATTTTACAATCCCAACAGCAAATGTATGAGAATTCCAATCTTTCCACATCCTCTCCAACATTTATTGGTGGTTGTCCTGTTAAACTGTGACACTGGTACTGGAGTGAGATGGTATCTCATTGTGGTTTTTATTTGCATCTCTCTTATTGCCAACGTTTTTGAGCATTTCTTCAAGTGTCTGTTGGCCATTCCACTCGCTTAACTCACTGTCATCTGACTTCTGCCCCTATCTCCCACAATGGTTCCTGTTACACAAACACTTTTCAGTTCTCATTTTATCCAATTTCTCCCTTCTTAAAACACTGTTTTTTCTTTTTTATTTTAAATGGTTTTTATTAATGATTTTTAATTTAACATATATATATTTACAGCATATTCTTTCCATTTAATTTTACCCATTCATTCATAGTTGTACATTTTCCTCCCTGCCCACCCCCAGTTCGTTTTTCTCTTTGAAGAAAAAAAATTCTTTCATTGTTATACAATTTCCCTTCCATGAGTCCACATTCCACTTTAATATGCATCTCTTTTTCTGTAATCTTGTCATGAAAATAATACCTTCGATGGCACCTAACAACAATAACAGTGACAACAAAGAGAGAGCTACATTGGCCTAATGGACAGAAAGTTATGCTGCCAAGCCCAAGGTGGGTGATTTTAATCTGCGGCCCTCAGGCCTGGTTTAAATTGTTTTTGGTCAAACATTCTTCTAGGTGGTATAGCACTAGTCTGTGCATTGCTGAGGTGACTCGTGGTTGCTGTGATGCTAAACAGTGTGACACTGATGTGTCAAATGCAATAATGGTTACCCATGGTGGACAGTGTTTGGTGGAGCTGCCTGATTAAAACAAGCTTGGAAGCAGGAGTGGCATCCACTTCCAAAATGGCTTGCCTCCGGAAAGATCATGAACAGTGCTTAGGTCTTTCGTTCATAGAGTTGCTATGAGTCATCTATGACTCGGCAATACTTATCAATAACAGCATATTCCTTTTAAATAGTTCTCTCCCTCATCTGTTTTAATGCAATATATATTATTTATCCCCTCTTTTCTTAGGTTCCCCCAATGTCAGTCCTGTTTACAACAGTGGCACTATGCAGTATTTGTCCTTTTGTGACTGAGATATTTCATTCAGCATCATGTCCTTCAGGGTCACCCATTTTGTATAATATTTCATTAGTTCTTTGTTTTTCAATGCTGCATAGTATTCCATTGTGTGAATATACCACAGCTTCTCTATCCATTCGTTTGTTGATGGGCACTTGGGTTGGAAACACTGTCTTTTCTTTCTTCCATATTCCTATGGTTTTCCTGTACTCAGATTCTTTTCATCAGTTTCTTGTACCTGACTGTTATATATTAAAAGTCACCAAAACTCAAATCCTTTTTTCTTTTTCTAATCACTCCTGAGGCATTCTTATCCATTTGTATTGCTGACAATTCTTAAGAATAAATTTCTTTCCCAGACCTACCTGTGAGCTCCATCCCTGTGTATCCAATTGTGTAGGACTCTACATTCCCTCTTTGGAGATCGCAAAGATCCTTCAAACGCAACATGTTTCAGTGGAATTCATGATCTCCTTTCCACACATGTTTGATGCCTCATCAAATGGCAGTATAATGTACTTGGCTACAAAATCATAGACCTATGAACTGATCAGGAAAACTCTGTTTCCCTTAGTTCTGCATTCCCAGAACATTAGCAGTTCTTTCTAAATAATTTTCACACCCATACAAAGTTTTTTCCTACCTGGCCTACTGCAGTAACTCCTTGCTAATCTCCTCTCCTGCCTCTTTTAGCTCTATCATTCTTTGCCATTGTGGAGTAAGCTTTAAAAATGCAACTCTGATCAAGAAAGTCAATACTTAAAACACTTTAACAACCTCCCATTGTATAAAATCTATAATGTGACAACTTCCCCAGGCTCCCCAGAGGCTCCCCCTTCCTCCTTCCATTCCTGGAACTCTGACTTTTGGTTGCTTTAATGTTCCATGTTCCTCTCCAGCCACAGGCTCAAGCACAAGCTGTTCACCTTGCTTGAAATTCTTGTTTCATCCTCCCAGTGTTGCCTAGGTAACTCCTCATCCACCAGATGTAAGGCAACCTCTTTACAGCAGCCTTTCCTGACTACTGAGACTTCATCAAAATGCCTTGTTCTATACCTTCGTAGACAATGCTAATTATTGTCGAAGTCTTTATACATTTATTATAAATTATTATTTATACATTTATAAAAGTGTATAAATCCTATTTATGCCATGTAGTGCAAGGGAACACTACATGGTTTAAAATTAGGAAGAGAATGTGTCAGGGTTGTATTATCTCCAAATACCTATTCAATCTGTATGCTGAGCAAATTATTCGAGAACCTGAACTCTATGAAGGGGAATGTGGGGTCAGGATCGGAAGGAGACTCGTCAATAACCTGCATTATGCAGATAACACAATCTTGCTTGCTGAAAGTGAGGAGGAATTGAGGCACTTGTTGCAGAAGGTCAAAGAATACAGCCTTCAATATGGATTGTGTCTAAATATCAAGAAGACAAAGAGTCTTACTGCTGGACTGATCATGATAGATGGAGAAAAGATTGAAACTGTCATCCACTTCATCTTATTTGTATCCACAATTAACACCTTTGGTTGGTACCAGCAGTCAAGAAATCAGGAGACATACTGCACTAGGAAAGTCTGCAGTTAAGGACCTCTCAACATTATTGAAGAGTAATGATGCCAGTTTGAGGACTAAGGTGCATCTGATTCAGGCCATGATCTTTCCAATCACTTGAAGAATTGATTTCTTTGAGCTGTGGTGTTGAAGAAGAGGGCTGAACATCCCATAGACTGACAATAAAAACCAAACAAATATGTCTTGGAAAGGGAGCAACCAGAGTGCTCTTGGAAGGCAAAGATGATGATTTTCACCTCATATACTACAGGTGTGTTCCTAGCAGGGGCTATTTCTTGGAAAGGGGACAAGTGGAGGGTCAGCAAAGGAGAGGAAGACCCTTAACCAGATGGATTGACACGATGACTGTTGCAATGAGCTCTAATGTATCAGGAAGTGTCAGAATGTCACAGATAGCGAAGGATAGTACAGGGTTCAGATCTGTTGTTCATAGGGTTACTATGGGTTGTACTTGACTTGATGGCACCTAATAGCAACAATTTATACATTTTGTTGCATAATGATATTTTAATATCTGCCTTACCCACTAATAGTTAATTGTTATCATTGTCATTATATATTATAGAGTCAGAACCAACTCATAGCTGACCCTCTAGCCGGTTTTAAGAGGCTTTAAATCATATGGGAGGAAATCATCCATCTTCCTCCAGCAGAGTAGCTTGTGAATTCCAACTACCTGTCTTTGGGTTGACAATGCAACTACTTATCCACTAGGCCATCATGTTGACTATAGGATGAATCACGTCTTTTATTTTTACCATTTTCTCCTCAATGCCTAATTCGGTAACTGGTACAGAGGAGACACACAAGAGAAATAAAAGAATGAACAAATAAAGGTTATGGTAACTTGTCTGTGGTCACCACTGTAGAGACCATAGCTAGGTGTTCCCATTTTCAGTGCAGATTTCTAGCCTCTTCCACAAAGGTTTGCCCAGTATTTTGCTCTGAATTACTGGATCCAAGGTTACTTTATAACACATCCAATCCAATTTCTCAACCCTGTCATTTGTTACACATGGTGGATGCATAGTCATTTTTTCTTTTCCTTTTCATGATAAAAACAATGCTGGGAGTATAGTAAAAATCCGCCCCCCAAACACATACTACCTTGTTCTATTTTGAGGAGTAATAATACGATAAAGCATTTGCTAAATGAGATAATGGGAGAAGGATAGGCAATCTCCTCCTGTGTCATTACTATATCCCTACATAAAGCAAAGAATCAAAAGCCCTCACAACTAAACAAATATGTAATACCACGATAAATACCAGGAAAGATTGAACTTACAAAAAGCTTCATTTTACTTTAATCTACATTCAACCTTCATGGAAGTAGAAGGTAAGACATTCAATGACACATTACACTGGGAATATCTGCTACAAACGACTTCTTTAAAGTATTAAAAACCAAAGACATAATTGCGCCAACAAAGGTATGCTGGACCCCAAGTCACAGTATTTTCAATCACTTCATGTGCATGAGGAAGACTGAAGAAGTAAGGCCTTTGGATGAACATGTTGGTTAAGAGTATTGAATCTATTAGTCTTGAAGAAGGTGTAGCCAGAGTGCTCCTTAGAAGCAAGGATGGCCAAGTTTTGTCCCACATACTTTGGGCATGTTGTTAGAAGGCGCGATTCCTTGGAAGGGAACACCAGGCGAGCAAAGGTCAGTGAAAGAGAGGAAGACTCTCAATGCGATGGCTTGATACAGTCACTGTAGCAATGGGCTCGAGCATGTCAGAGAGGCTGGTGCAGGATAGGACAGGATTCAGATCCGTTGTTCCTAGGGTCTCTATGAGTCATACCATACCGGACAACACATAACAGCAACAACACCATGGACTGCCAGAACTAACAAATCTCTCTTGGGGAAAGTACAGGCACAATACTTCTAAGAAGCAAAAATGGTGAGACTTAGTTTTATATATTTTGGACATACTATCAAGTGGGGCCTGTCCCTGGGGAAGGACATCATGTTTGGAAATATGGAGGGTCAGTGAAAAACAAGAAGACCTCAATAAGCTGTGGACCCAGTGGTTGCAATAATGGCCTCAGATAGGTCACTGATTATGAGATGGTGCAGAACTGATGGTGTTTGGTTGCATATAGGTGCATTATGAGTCAGAACCGAAATAGTACCTAATAACAACGGCATTGTGATAAACCACACCACTATTTAAAACTTGCACACCACTATTTAAAACTTGCAAGTTTCTTGAGATTCTCAGAAGGAATACAAGGTATGGATAAAAAAAGTAATTTCATCTCTAGCAATAGAATTTTTTGTTCAAAAATGCTGGTAATTTTTTTTTAAAAAAAACAACCCACTAATGTTACCAAAACGTCATTCTATTAGGTGGAATAATCATCATCACCCTCCCAGCGTCTGCGTATATACCTTCTATTAAAAGTGAACAAGGAGAAAGCCACTTTGCTGTGTGGAAGTACCTTGTGCATTTTATAAAATGAACATAAAATGTTCTGTGGTTTGAGGCAAGGCTGCTGCATTTATAAAACAAAATAAGTTCAGTGTTACCCTTGAGGAGGCTTAAAGATTTTATTTTTCAAGGGTCTTTCATTTTGTGGATGAAAATGGAATCATTATTTTTGAACTCTCTCTGCTCACGTCAATGACTCCCATCTGCAGCTGGTCCGCTGGCTATAAGTACCCACGAATTGCCTTTCAGATCAGGCAGGGTAACCATCGAGGGCCAGCCAAAGCCCAACTCCCTGGTAAGCTTTATTATTAGCCTTTTCTATTTGTTTCAGTTCAATTTTACACCATGGGGTGGATGGCAATCTCGACTAATACAGATTTGCTGTCCATCTGTCTGGGGGTGTGTGTGTGTGTGTGTGTGTGTAAAACACATTTCTCAATTTTAAGGATGTCTCTCTCATCTCCTCTATCTTTCCGGATACAGCTGTCTTAAGACCCAAGTAATTTAAATTTTTTAAAGAGGATTGTACTGTCTTTGGAAACAATGGGAGTGTCCTTCTCTTTAAAGCTATAAAAGGTGTACTCAGATTTTCTGGGTTGTTCCTACAATGGTTTTGCTTATCACTGTATATATATATAGTCTATTATCATAGACTAAAAAACTCGTATTCTGGGAGTCTTATTTACAATTGAGTCTTTGGAAAAGATGGCTGTGAAATTTGTGTGAAACAATGCCTGTTTCTCCTTCCCTTTCTTTTTAATATGTTTCTTTCTCTTTTTCAATTTTACCCTTCCTTCTCTATCTTCTCCAACTGTCTCTCTCTGTGACCACCCATCCATATTTCCTGATCTTTAGTTTCATACAGCTTCACTCTATCATGCCCAAAGCACTCCTCCTGTTGCTGGGTGTTTCCTTGGTGCTATTTGCGCATGTACATGGAGCGACAATGAGAAATGAAGAGAAATGGAAGCCACTCAACAACCCCAGAAACCGAGATCTAGTAAGAATATACCATGGGGCTTGGTGGGTTTCAGATTCTGGCATCTCTCTGGGTTTCTGCATAGTTCACTCCACACACACAGTGGAGAAGAGATTTCCCACAGGATCCAATCTGTGTTTGATAGCCTGGTAACTGGCATCTTATAGCTTCTCTCACAAATTTACATTTGCTTCTGTAAAAAGAAACACCTTGTGCTTAGATATTATCTTGTACACACACACTACATAATATTTGTAAATGGTCTTACATGCACATTTGTTTTGTTGCCTTGGTTTCCAATATGAATGGAAAAATTAAGAGCCTAGTGGGCAATTGTGTCTTTATACATCTTAAACTGAATTAACTATTTTTTAAATTAGAAATCTGTTTTAAAGTCTCATGAAACAAATACTTGCAAAACTTAGGAAAAGTTGAAAGTTGACCCTACATATGAGAAAAGGAAAGGTAACAATATGAAATTAAAATATTAAAACAAATAGAACACTGCACAGATTTTGTGTTTATTTGCTAAAAGAAAACTTAAAAACCCATGTCTGAAAAGAAAATATTGCAGAAGGCAGGAGTTGGGTCCTCCCAATCAGAGGGAAAATGTCAGAATTGCTTATTGAAAAGTTCAGTTACATCTCTGGCTTCAGCACAGTCAGATGGTTTACAGTGAATCATCTGACTATAATGTTGTTAAGTAGTTGATATCCTTCCCTCAATTCTCACCAGTGATGGCAAGTTTCCTTTTTTAGAATTGAAGTGCTGGAAAGAAAGAAGGCAGAAGAATGAAGGAAAAGGACGTGGGTTGGGGCGGGGGGATATTAGTTGGCACTTCTGTTTCTGGGTTTTCAATATCCTGCTTCCAAGATTACCTTTAAACGAATCTAATTTATTCCAAGGAAAAAGTTAAACTTTGAGTATTTTGGTTATAATCTAGAAATGACACGGAATGTTTTCTTTCTCTCCTCAGTTTTTCAGAACCCTTCAGGCATATTTTAAAGGAAGAGGTCTTGATCTTGGGAGGTTTCCAAATACATTCTCCATGACTGAGAACCCCAGACCCCTATCTTTCCAATCAGAAATTATTACTTCTGCATTTGCAGATTATGAAGAACAGAAAAGCCCCTTTCCAAATTATCTGAAAGGCTGATTGACAGTTCCTTCGGAGCCCAGGTAAAAGTTGTCTCTCTCTATGCAAACATAACTCAGTCAGATAGCAGATGCTTTGAAAATATTCCTATGAAAAGGTTTTTACCTCCTTGTAGAAGTGAACACTTAGTTCTGATCATATTCATCTGTTCAGAAGTTCTGTTCAGAACTGTTAATGTTTAGATAGTACAGTTTTTAAAAACAATGAGCTATAATTTTCTGAGAGAAGTAGAATAAAACAGTAGAATTGGCAGTCCCAGTAGAATTATTACATGTACTAAACTAGCACTCCATCTAAATTATACGGAAAATTTTATACACATTATATGGAAAATTGACAGTTACCTTAAATGAAACGTGAGAATGAAAAGAATGCTACCCATTGGAGAAAGCATTAAGCACGTACTTGAACTTCTTCAACTAGAGAAAGGAGTAGAATAATACAATAGATCATATTATTCTTATACCCAGGAATTTTAATTATTATTTATCGTTAGTATTTGAAATTTAGTAATCTCATTGCTTTAGAATTCTATGAATCAACTACCTTCCATTTAAAAGGAAATAGGTATTCTCCTGTTTAATAGATCCCCAAAATAAATTATACATTCCCCCAAAATGAATTTTGATTTTAAACCACTAGCTTTTTTGTTTAGCTGAATAATAAAAAAAGCCACATAAAAATTGAAATCTATGTCTAAGCTCCTGTAAGCCTACAGATGAAATCATAAGGAAGCGTATAGATGTTGCATTTCATTGTGTTTGTAAAAAGATTTTATTAATTTTTAACATGATCACGTAAAAATTTTTGTCAGTCTGAAAAGAATATGCAATTTATTGTGCAGCACATACACTATTCTAAAATAGGAAAAGAACATAAAATGAACAAACATGCCAATTAAGTAAGGTTACCTTGACAGGTTTTTTTTCACATGTCAAACTTAGAATATCAGACACTAAACCATGGGAAAATAGTCACTAATACCATAGTATCTACTGTATAGGAATCCCTGGGGGAGGAGTGGTAAGGAGTTGTGCTGCCAATATAAAGGAAGGTTGCTCAAATCCACCAGTTGCTCTGAGAGAGAAAGATGGGCAATCTCTACTCCAGTGTGATTTACTGCTTCTGAAAACCCACCGGAGGCTCAGGGATGAGTCAGTGCTCACTTGATGGTACATGACAACAACAACATCTACTGTATAGTGGGCAGGAGTGACTCTTGTAAAATTCTCACCAGCCATATGAGAGTTCTAAGTTGGATTTCTAATTAATTAACCGCAAAGGTAGACATCAATCAGTAAAGGCTACATGCTGCTTTGATGTCAATAGGTTTCAGTGAACATTCCAGAATAAGGCAGAAAAAAAGAAGATCTAGAACTCTACTTCTGAAAATCAACCAGTGAGAACCAGTGGTCTGATTCCACTTTACAGGGTCCTCATGAGTCAAGCAAGGTGAAGGCTGAGGAACAATTGACCTGGCAGCAGCTAACAACAACCCCCACAAACTTTATAATGTGAAGTATTACATGATAATCACATGTAAATCATGGTTTCTTCACCTGCAAACTACAAATACTAATCATTAGTGCTTCATAAAAGAGCTTTAGTGGTTTAGTGGTAAGGCATTGTGCTGCCAACCCAAAGTCATGCAATTCAAATCCACCAGCTGCCCTGTGGATAAACGATGGGCTGTCTTCTCCCATATGATTTACTGCCTCTGAAAACCTGCTGGAAAGTCAGCTATGAGTCAGTTGCAACTCTATGGTAGGCAAAAACAACAACAGGACTTCATAGACACTGATGAAATATCAGAAAATGCCAAATAAATGCTTAAATGTGCACATGGAATGAGATGATTAAGAACAAGAAGCAGAAGAAGGACTAAATGGCAGTATTATGATACTATGGTATTATTGTGACTAGTTAAAGAGGTAAAGCTTATCATTTATGATTTCTATTATAACTTATCAGCATAAGCTCTTTTCCTAATTAGAAATTACCCCAAATGTGGACAAAACCAGGTTTCATTAAGATATGTAGCTCTTTGTGTCTTTGTGTGGTTTCTGCAGTCTTCACATTTTCTACTTAATGACACGATTTCCTTGTTCTTTCAGGTTCTGGCTATCTTGAAACTACAGATAAAGCTTCATATTAGAAAATGTCCATCATAGTCACAGCTAAACTTTTGTATGTTCTCTCCCCTCCATTTTCATGTGTCACCTTATGTTTCCATTTTGCATTTTCAGATTTAAGATGTACCTTCCTGGTGGGAGAAAGAAGTGGCAGTTTACTTTCATAATGGTTCACAGTCTTGGAAACTACAGGGCAGATCTGTTCTGTCAGCTAAGTTGCTATGAGTATGAATAGATTCAATGGCAATGGACTTGGTGGGTTTTGGAGTGCACTTGAGCATTATTTTCCATGGCTTTATTGTGGATAGTTAATACTGAAATCAAGAATAAAATGTTTGTGTGAAACAGATTTTGTGTCTGATCCAGCATGTTCTGCTCTAGTTAGTTGTCTCTTTCCTCTAGAGGATTGTGAAATCTGGGAGCAAAGAGAGCAGCATGTCTAATTAATTTAGTCTTCAGGTCACTACAATATACCAGGGTATCTAGCCTATTGCAAGTGTTCAGTAAATACTTACTGAAGTTAAAAAAAAAAAGGATGCTACCATTCTTACAGCTGTTTCTAGTTAATGTCAAGAATATAAGAATATTTTTTCCATTTAAAAATGTAAGTAATTATTAAGAGTAAGATGGTACCTAGCTGCCACTATTGACCATTCTGATCAGAGCTAAAATAGATGGACTCTGACAAATGGAAGGAAAATGTTGAACAGAACTCAAATTCTTTTTAAAAAAAAAACAACCTAGATTTACTGAACTGCTTGAGATTGGATAAGTTTCTGATACTATTACTCAGAGATGCTCTTTAAATTATAAGCCAAATTAGCCCTTGTGGTCATTTTTAGCTAAATAACTTTCAGATTTATTCACAAAATAAAGAATATCACCTATAAACACTATGCTTAGAAAAACTGTGGTATATTCACAAAATAGAATACTACACAGCACTGAAAAACATGTAACTCCTAAAATATTACACAACATGGTGACCTTGGAGGATTTAAGCTGAGTGAAATATCTCAGTCACTAAAGGATAAATATTGCATCACACAATAGGTATAAAACAGGACTGAAATGGGTATTGGGGGAAACTAAGAAAACAGGATAAATAATGAACACTGCTTTGGAACAGATGAAGGAAAGAACTATTTAAAAGGAATACATTATTAGGCATGATTCGTGCGACAACAGTCCAGAATAAGAAGTGCATAGCAAAATGGACTGGGAGAGAAGTGTGGGATAGGGGGAAACTTGATGCAATAATGAATGAATTTTTTTTAAGTGAACTGGTCTGTGGGAATAGAGAGGAAAATGTGCATCAATGAATGAATAAAAATCCAACTTTTCTGTGAAGTTTGATTAAAATAACAGTTTAAAAAAGTGGGGGAAGTCACTCTTCTCCTTAAAAAAATCTTCTATAAGAGACTAAGCTGGCAATAATTACTTCTAAATAAAAACCAGAAAGTAAAGGACCCAGGAAACTCGATTCATGGAAATGGGAAAACCAGAATGGAAACAATGAGAATGTCCATGCATTGTGGAGAATGTAACCAATATCACTGCAAAATATGTGTATAGATTATTGAATGGAAACCTAAACTGCTGTGTAAATCTCCACAAAAAGATGTGATTGGATGTTATTTTTTAAATAGATCACTAACAATAAAAAATATAAATAAATATTGATGAGATTTTTCTCACAAAAGTATAGGTTGTTCAGATAACTGATAGCGGATAGAGGATGTTTCACTATTTATAATATGAACCGACAGAGTTGGAACAGTAGGCTTAAAGTTTAGCACCTATTGCCAGGATGACATCGGATCAGGCAGTATTTCATCCTATTATATAAAGGGTGACCCTGCATTGGAACCATCTTTACAACAACAGCCACCACAGCCAATTCTCTGTAATCAGTTTTCACTTTCTCACCATTATCCCTGCTCTGGATGCAACTGATAGCAGTTTTAAGATCGCTGAGATGGAAAGACATCCATGGGAGGCAGTTTAGATAGGACATGGCAAAGTCTCAGAACCAGCAGAATGGATCCTGCTGAAAAATTCCTCACAATTTACAGATACTTGCTGAGGACAGATAAACACCCTACACTAACTAGAATCTCTTAATGGTAGTGCTATTGGTAACTGTGGACAAACAAATCTTCAATATACTGTGTGCCGTTAGCATACCTGGTCCCTAGACACTGTGTTAGTAGCCCTCCCACTTCATTTTGAAAAGTAGACTCCTCTATACACTTTTATAAAAGTCCACTAGGGAAATTATTTTTCTCTTGACTGGGAACTATTGTTAGTTAAACAAAAGAAGTATAGTATTTCCTACAATGGAAATAAATATTTTGCAGATGCTATAAGCTCTCAAGTGGTTCATGATACTTCTCTAAACGTATCCTGGCAACTTCTCAACACTGATTTCTTCATTGGGTGCTTCCTTTACCAGGTGTTTAAGAAGTTAGATAGTCTGATGGGGACCACTAACTCCACAGGAGAAACAGTCTCATTGACAGCATCTACAATATAAACCAACTGATGCCCCACACTCTCCACACCTATCAATTCTAACACTAACCATCCCTCCTCGGGCTCTCATTGCTCTTCTACTGGGCCTGCTGATCCCTTGCAATGGCCACACAAAACTCACAGACAGTACTCCCAATCGCGGAGTTTATTAGGAAAGTTAATCGGCTACAATTCAGACTGGGGATAAAAGGATACAATTCTTCAGTTAGTACAGCTTCTTAGTTGTGCTTACAGGTTCTTGGACCTACAGTGTTGGAAAGATCTCTTAGTCCTATGCCTGATGTTGTTTTCCCCAAGTTTTCTCTGAGCAAACTTGGGTAAAAGCACCTGATT